TTGGCCATTTGAATATACTCACCTAATTTTCTTCTCCAATCATTAATGAGTAGTTTTTCCCCCCCCTTCCAAGACTTTGCTATTGTAATTATCGCAGCCACAAAACTATACTGGCAAATTTCTGCATCATCTTTACTAATTCTTTCTTGAACCCTCTAGGTGTTTTGGACTCCAACTCCCAGAAATCCCAGCCAGCTTATCGGCTGTTAGGAATTGTGGGAGCTAAAGTCCAAAACTCCTGGCAGGCCGAAGTCTGCCCATGCCTGAATTAGCCCTTAAAATGCTTAGGTTGATATTTACACATTGACTCATAGCACTATGAAGACTATCACATTTATTGTGAGAGTATATGCACACTTTGGTGTATTAAAGCTTTTGCCATAAGAAATCTATCTTTAACAAGCTCCAAAGCCCCTCAGTATTTTCCAAAATACATGATTTCAAGAGTGAAGGATTTGACATGTGGCACTTTCTTGCTTCCTTGCCTTACATCTCCTTGTCATTTCTAGAGACGGCTGCTTTTCCTCTTTAAGAAGTAGCCATCGCAAACTTGGAAGAAAAATTAAATGGCCCAATTCTATCTTTCTAGACATTGCAAACTTCTTATATTGCTTGTATACCAAGAGAAAAGCATTAGTCCCTCAAAGGATAGGAATATTTGAGCTTAAAACCACTTTAATTGTTATGTGCTGCAGAATCCTGGGGTTTGTATTTTGGTGAGGTACCAGCACTCTTCAGTAGAGAAGACTAATGGCCTTGTAAAACTGCAGCTCCTGGGATTTCATAGCATTGATTCATGGAAGTTAAAATGCTGTCAAATTGCATTAATTCTATTGTTTATATGCACCCTAGGACCCACATAAAACACATTGTCTGGAGATCAGCTGTCCTATTTATTAATGACAGACTTATAAGGGTTAGTTCACATATTCACTCAAGGACTGCTGAAATTGGGTATATATAGAGGGGGGGGGGTATACTAATGAAATATGAAAACACCATGAAAATTCTGCATGTCCCCATTTTGACAAAATGACCATAAGTTTCCTGTTCAAATAAGCCTATGAACCAACTTTAAAACAGCCTTTATATAGGGCTATATTTGCATAATCTCATTATCCTGAGTTCTAGAAAAGCTGTCCTTTAAGTCATGGATGGGAGTCATATGACCATCCAAAAGTTATTGGACTGAAACTCCCATCAACCCTAAGCCACTATAGCCAATGATCAGAAATGACTGGACCTTCAATTCAACAACATACGCAGGGCCATAACAGTGCTTTAAGCAGGACTCAAATAAAATAACTGTTAAGCTCCCTTTCAGTTTTTAATGCCTTGTTCTTCTTGCAGTATATACGTGTCTTCCATCTGGAACTTTTCATTGGTTTTAAAAAAATCAAAACAGCCACCAGCAAATGTATTCATGCATGACAGAGCCATAGCTTTTGGCAGAGTGTCATTTTGCAAAGAACTCACAAAAGCTGCTATTGGGAGATGACAACTCCAAGAATCTCTGAGAAAATATGGCTAATGGTCATGCCGGGTAAAAGATTCTGTGAGGTGAAGTAATTTCCCAAGTTCAGGCATGCAGAATATTACTTTTATAGTTTAATTTAGATCTCCCTTACCTCTGCATCCTATAGGACATGGAGTTGGCTGAAAAGTCCTTTTTCCCCAAAGGACACAGTAAAAAGAAGCTGCTTTTCAACAGTAGTTCTTGGTTTGCCATCACTCATCCTTTGTTCCCTTATGGCAGTGGTTCCCAACCTGTGGTCCATGGACCACCAGTGATCCACAAGAACGAAAATATCATCACCGGCCTCACAATTACTACACAATAGCCTCGAAATCATGTGGCAGCCAGAGCGACTGGTCTCGCGAAACCCTCTTATAGTGCAGAGGCAACAGGGATGTCGGGAGGTGAGAGGCTGACTACCCACGAAAGATTACTACTACCACATCAGCTCTAGATTATTAAACATGGTTTTCTGTGGGTGAGCAGATGGTGACTACTGGATGGCATGTTGTGTATCAGAAACTAGAGCCGATGTGGTCTATCCAATTTTCTGAATCAGCACCCCAAATAACCAAATTGAATCTAAAGTTGACCAAAAACTGATTTGTAACCCTTTTGGTACTAATGTTGGAGAGTGGTTCCTGGTCAAGTGGTCTCTGGTCAAAAAGAGGCTGGGAACCACTGCGCATGACTTCAGTAAAAAATATTTTGTAACAAAGGTGATTATCTCTGCAATCTTATATTGACTAACCTGTGAGCCATCATCACCAAACTCATTGTGACTTACTTATGAGTAGACATATACAGGTTACACTAACCCTTGTGGATTTACCAAAGTCTTGGCTCTGATATATGTCTCTAAGGGAAGGACTGGGGAATTTGAAAAGTGTGGAGACCATTTTTCCAGCCCTGAGACTCTTTGAAGGCTACATAGATTACCAAAAATTACTTCCAAAATGGGAAATGACTAGGAATTCACTTTAAAAAAAATGGGGAAATAACCAAAACCTATTTGCAAGATGAATTATTACTCTTGGAGGCTTCAAAGAGAAGCCATCTCCTCTGCTTTTTGCCAGAAAATGGTAGCCCAAGGGAACCAGAGAGTATCAAGGGGCATAAAAACAGCCTCGAGATCACCCTTTGCCCATCCCTGGGCAAGAGCCTGTTCGCATAGTTGTGATGCTAATAATCTGATCTGGCTTCATCAAATGGCCACAGTAAACTATATGCTGTCAGGAACAGAGTCAGGAATCACTGTTTCTCTTGGGGGTCTTGCTGAAACCTAACACAGCCATAGGTTCAATTGTATTTTCCAGAGGAGTATCCCAGGTTATTGCAGTAACAAAAATGCTATTAAGTGTACAAATAATAAAAATATGCCTAACCAAAGATTCTCATTACCTGGTTTTGATTCATCACATACAACATGAGTGATGTTATCATGTAAATTTTCCAGCGCATTGTAACTTGGGCTATAAAACCAATTTCCACTATCACCCGCAATTTCTTGCAGTTCTCTTTGACTGGCTCCATCTATCCCAATGGCGATGATCTCAATTCCTGCTTGCCTCAGAGCCTGCACTGCTGCTGGGAGATTGGGTCTATCTGTTGGGGTGGTTTGCTCATCGGTGATTAGCACAATCATTTGTGTCATGCCGAGAACTGACATTCGGCCACCGTACGCCGCGTCAAACCGTTCCCTTGCAAAATTCAAAGCTCTTGCTGTAAAAGTGAACCCTCTCGAAAGTGTCAGCTTTTGGATGGCTTCCCTGACTTGCAGCTTTGTGGAAAACCGATTCAGCGGGAATTCCTCTCGGGGGTCAGTGCTGTAGACAACAACCCCAAATTGGACATGGTCTTTTCCCACCACTGAGTCATTCACAATGGACGCCATGAGCCACTGTATCCCCTTCAACTGCAGTTCTGTAATGTACTGTGATCCGTGCACAACAAAGATGATGTCAGCGACTTCTGTCCGTTTGCACTCTGCAAATGAAAAAACACAGTGACTGTGTGTTAGAAAGATTTTGTTTCTCCCTCTTCCTTTACTATGTGTTAGCAGGTCCACTGATAACAGTTCAGTAGCCTGTTTAAGTTTTAAATCTGCAAATAAAGGAAGAGCGACTAAAGAAGAATGTGATGGAAAAAGAACAGGACTCAAGTATTTTTAACATGCATTATGAGAACTTTTTTGCTAATACGGGGTTAAAAGAAGCTGAACAAGCAAAATTGCCTTTTCTGTCCACGGGGCTGGCAATAGGCAGACTTAGGCAACAAACTTAAGAGATTGGGTCTATCTGTTGGGGTGGTTGGCTCATCGGTGATTAGCACAATCATTCATGTCATGCCGAGAACTGACATTCAGCCACCGTATGCTGCGTCATCCTACGCAGTAAAATAAGCATATCTATACTTTTAAGAAATGGAAACCCACTGTGCCCTTCACACAAAAACAAGCTTCAACCATGGAGTTGAGGTCTTTTGCAGTTTCTAAAAAGTGTTGGTTTCCCCAACAATTCCTAAGCCAGTGACTTATTTTTCAATTCCTTGCTTAGAGACAGGCAAAATGGCCAATTTCCCTGTGTGGTATTAATTTCTGTTGCCTGATTGCAAATTAAATGATGACACCATGTGTGGGAGGAGCTGAAATGCCAATTTATCTGATGATCGCCAATGCAGAGTTTTGGGGAAAGATCGAGGTTAATTTAAAACCACTTCCTACGATTTTTTAAAACATTGGTGATTTTTTTATGAAGATAAATAATCAAAATTCTGGAGGGACAATGGGAGGAAACAAATCTCTACCGTGTGATGGCAACTCAAATGGATAAATGCTAAAGAAAGCTGAGAAAAGGAGAAGGTGTGATGAAGGTAGAAAAATCATTTGTTTAATTTCCAAATGGGATGTTGAAAAGCTTAAGGAAAAACCAACTATCCCAAACGCTTTACTCATCCAATGGTATATTTTTATTGTGTCAGAAGCAACCCACAAATACACTGCAAGCTACTTCTAATGTGAGAGAATTGGCCATCTGCAATGACGTTGCCCAGGGTACGCCCAGATATGTTACCATCCAGCACACAGCTTCCTGTGCATGGGAAGCTGTGTGCTGACAGATGGGAGCTCACCCCATCTCGCAGATTCGAACTGCCGACCTTCAGGTCTTCAGGTCAGCAGTTTAGCCGGCACAAGGATTAAACCCATTATGCCACTGCGGCTCCCATCCAATGGGATGAAATCCTTAGATGAAAGACCGAGGGAGAGTTATTCCTTCCAAGCCCTTGGCCATTCCTCTTTCCCTAAGATAGATTTGTGTGCAGTCCCTAAACTTATCTGCTACCTTCAAGTATGAAGTGCAGCCCTATCTCGTTGCCAATGTTGAAGTAAATTTCAACTGTCAGTTCAACTGTTTTTCATGGAAGAAAAGAAGCCAAATTAACCTCCTGAGGTAGACAATTCCATAGTTTAGGTGGTAACACTTACCTTCCTCAGGATTGCAAATTTCAAACAGTATCGGCTTTTCCAAAAACAAAAGGGCATCAAAAAAATCCTCAGAAAACACTTTTTCTTGAGTGCCAGCAATCTCCAGGAGTTGGGAGTTGCTTGCTTGCAGTACTCCAATGGCGTAGATTGTGACCCCTTTATTCCTAAGATGTCTGGCAGGATTTCTCACTTCATCTTCAGATTTGCCATCTGTGACCACTATCAGATACTGCTTTACTCCTGGACGTCCTCCTTTGGATACGTCAAAGTAAGGAGAGGCAAAATCTAGAGCCTTCCCCAACTTTCTTCCTTTTTTCATTTGCCTCATTACAGAGATCGCTTTCCTCAAGTCAGCCTTGTTATCATATCTGTTGAGTGGAAACTCCTCTTGTGGATCTGAGCTGAACTGAAGCAGTCCAATCTGAACCTTCTCAGCTCCAATATCAGACTTGTTTACAATCAACTCAATGAATTGTTTTGTCAGCTCAAACTGAGCTTGGTCCATAGTTTTGGAAGTGTCAATTAGCAAAATAATGTCAGCTTTCAGGTTTTTACAAGCTGAAAATGAAAAGAAAGAGTTAAGAGACAAAGAAATGGGAAAACAAATCAGTCAAATATGTTACATCACAAATGGTGTGTCTGTAATTTTCTATATGTTGTTGGAGTACAACTCCAATCATGCCTCAGTAGTGTCCTCTATGGGCTAGAGCTGATGGAAACTGGAATCCAGTAACAACTGGAAGACCAGAGTTTCCCCAGGTCAATGTTGTCAATTGTGGTCCTAAAGGAGTGTTATGGCTCATTTACCTTCCATGTTTCAATACATTTTTATTAATGTTCTAATGCAAGCAAGAGTCAGGTAATTAATTCCACATACATTAATAGAAATTGATGGGATTTGTTGAGGACCTAGGCTACAGTTAAATTTAGCTTTTTTTTTATTCCCACTATCTAAACAATATGGGATTTTTTCCACCAGCTTCTCTCCAAATGCACAAAATTAATGATATCATGTTAAAGCAGTTCTCTCCCTAACATGATACAAATTGTCCTGATCTATACTTTCCTGCTTTCTCTGATGGGTTTTGTTACAGGCAATATATGCCAGATAAAATGTATACATTCTCTAAATACCTGGCAAACACATTGCATAAAGAAACAGATAACTTTGGCTATCTGGTTTGAACAGCTGAATGGCTCGGAAAGCATAATTGCCCTTGGATTCATTCACATTTACTGCGGCAAACACTCATGGAATCCAGTTGCTGCATGAAATATCCAGTATCATGGAACAACAGCCATTGGCTGAGTCCACATTGGAAATTATCATTTGACTAGCTGTACCCACCATGCGTTGCTGTGGCCAACCTTCACTCCCTCTTTCTCTCCTTCCTTCTTTCTCTCATTCCTTCCCTCCCTCCCTCCCTCCCTCCCTCCCTCCCTCTTTCCTTCCTTTCCTTTTTTTCTTTCTGTTTCTCCTTCCTTCTTTTCTTCTCTACCTCTTTCCTTCCTTCCCCTCCCTTTTTTCTCTCTCCTTTCTTCCTTCTCTACCCATTCTTGGACTATAACTCCCAGCAGTCCTCCTGATTGATTGATTGATTGATTGATTGATCTATCTACCTACTATCTATCTCTATCTAATCTATATATCTTATCTATCTGGAGGATTGCTGGGAGTTGCAGTCCAGGAATAAGAAATATGTATGGATTGGAGTACTCTCAAAGAAATCCAAGAAGAAGCAAGCTTGCAGCTTGGAAGCAGTGCATTTGGAGCATCCTCCTCCCCCAAAGGGCCTGGTCTAGGGGATGCTGGCAGCTGTCATTTTTGCACATGCACTGTATCATCATTTAGCTTTTTTGTGTTTTTTTAGTCCTTTCCACTATTTTGGGAGGGGGTTATGAGTGATGGTCACTCATTGGTCTGTTAGGGTTGCAGTGTTCAAATTTTGTGTCAATTCTTCCAGTGATTTTTGAGTTATGTTAATCTCACAAATGAACACTATATTTTTATTTATATAGATGAGGCATTCTTTGGCAGAGAAGGCTAAAAGCATTATGAAAATACAATTCCTGTGAAACCATTGCACTGAGCCCCAGCAGTTAAAGTGAGGTTAAACTGGATTAATTCTCCAGTGTAGAAGCATCACTGGAATGTTTAGTTTAGTGAGATACTTAGAATGTTCTAGTATACTCCCTTGGACTGCAGCATTTCTGTTCTTTGGTAGGGAACACTAGGTACTTCACCAAACCTAAGAATGCCAGGCTTCCACAGGATGGAGCCATGGCAGTTAAAGTTGAATATTTGTGTAATGCATAACATGGAAAGACCCGAAGAGGTGCTCTTAATGTCAATAATGTTTGCATATATTATATATGGCATCTTCAGAAGACTAGCTATGACAGAACTTGAGAACTTCTAATCTGAGAGAGCACCTTACCCTCAGGAGAGCAGATATCCCTCACAACGTCATGCTTGATGAGATCTAAGGAATCAAAGTCATTCACAAAAAACATTCGGTCCTTGGTCCCAGCAATATCCTCCAATTCACTTTGGACTGCACTCTTGACGCCGATGGCATATATCACAATCCCTGCCGCTCGCAGCTCTTCTGCTGCTTTGGTGACATCGTCCTGGGATTTTCCGTCTGTAATTATGATAAGGAACTGCGGGACTTGGTCTCTGACCGAACTTTTAAACAGATCCTGCATGTATTTTAAAGCATCTCCTGTTCTGGTGCCACCCCCGAGCTGCTGAATCGCCTTGATGGCATCTTTTAATTGTGCCACGGTGTTATACTGGTGAATCTCAAATTCTGTTTGGGGAGTACTTCCATACTGAACGACCCCAAAACGAACTCTGTCAGTGCCAACCTGGAACATATTGATCAGCTCATTCATGAAGACTTTCATGTCATGGAAATCATCTGGGTAAATACTACCTGATCCATCGATCAAGAAATATATGTCCGCTTCCTCTGTTTCTTCACAGCCTACAAAGGGAGAAGCAAGGAGTGAGGAAAAAAATCAATTGCTCATCTTATGTGACAATCAAGAAATGCCCCGTTCCAGCAAACTAAACTCAAACATGCAGAATGTTCCATAATAATAATAGTTTAATTTCCTAGAACAAGACCAAACCATGGAAAGCATGCCTCAAATATGGGAAGCATCATGTGCTTATGAGTTGCCTGTTGTTGTACAGTAACACCATTCATTTGATAGGGTTTCCTTAAGCAAGGACTTATCACAGAGGATTTTGCCAGTTCCTTCTACTGAAATATAGCCTACAGCACCTGACATCCGGTGGTGGTTTCCCATCCAAGTACTAACCTGGGCTGACCCTGCTTAGTTTCTAATATCAGATGGAATCTCGTGTATTTATAGCTTTTTTCCCCATTTACTCTGGACAGTTTCTAGAGGATGATAATAATACAGGTTCCTTACCTTCCTTCACAATTCGGGAACGGGCTGGAACCGCAAATGTCTGAACAACAATCTCATTACAAAGCCGTTTTTTAATAATCCACTCAATGTTTGATAACTGCAAAAATGATCGCAGATTGGTGACATGTTTCCTTGGAGGGTGGGATGCTATTTTGTAGAGCTGGCCACTTGCTGAGACATTTTGGATGCCCACAGCATAAACAGTAACACCTTTACGTCGGAGTTTGGAGGCAGGTCCAGTGAAATTATCTAGTGATTCGCCATCGGTGATCACCACAGCCAGCTGCTGCACCCCTTGGCCCTTCCTGCTCCCCATTTTCTTGGAGAAAACCTTTTCCCGTACAAAGTCTATGGCCACGCCAGTGTATGTTTGCCCACCGCGATATGGCAGCTTGGTCAGATAGTTCAGAACCTCTGGCTTTTTTTCAAAGGTATCCAGGCTAAATTCTAACCTTGGCTTATCACTGTAAAGAACCAAGGCAACCCGTACATTATCTAGGCCAATATCCAGAGCACTGATGACCTTGAGGAGAAAAGTCCTAATCAGGTGGAAATTCCTCTGGCCAATTCGGCTGGATTCATCCACAAGAAATACAATGTCTGCCACAGAAGCACTGGAGCAAACTGTGAACAAGAAAGTTGACAAAAGTTAGCAAGATGACAGTATATTATATACAGGCAAGTGACAACAAATGCTCAGCTCTGTAGACAGGATTTTTTTCGTGTCAAGAGCGACTTGAGAAACTGCAACTCGCTTCTGGTGTGAGAGAATTGGCCATCTGCAAGGAAATTTCCCAGGGGATGCCTGGATCTTTTGATGTTTTACCGTCCTTGTGGGAGGCTTCTCTCATGTCCCCACATGGGGAGCTGGAGCTGACAGAAGGAGCTCATCCACACTCTCCCCAGATTCGAACTTCCGACCTGATGGTCTTTAGTCCTGCCAGCACAAGGATTTAACCTATTGCGCCACCGGGGACTCCTTGTAAACAGGATGCATTCCAAGGAACTTATTCCCAGGCAAGTGGTGTTTACTAGGACTGTGGACTGAATCCTTCAGTTTTTAAGAATAGCCAAATGCATCACAATACTGGCAAAAGATAGGCAGAGGAGAAGACAAAGGAGCAAATTTCCCTGAAGACAGGATTGGGAATAATGTACTCTCCAGGTGTTATAGGACTTCAGATTCTATCATCCCTCATCATTAACAATACAGCTAGGACTGATGGAAGTTGCAGCCCAGTATCTGAAAGAACACATTCTCACAATATTTGGTTTCTGGGCAATGTGTGAGGATGGCTATTGGTAGTACTCTGAGAGATCCTGATGAAAAGATAGAGAATAACATCTTGTGAGGACGGGTTATACAAATTCCTCACAGTGGAGCATTTGAGAATTCAGTTACTGAAAGATTGGAGTCATCTAGTGGGCACTTCCTGTTCTGCAACTCATCCCCTCCATTTGGACCATTGTCAAGTGGTCTGTTAATACTTTACGCAGTCAGATGAGCATTTTCTCGTTATATTCCTGTTTTACTACAACTTCTTTTTAAAAATCCATGACACTCAGGTTCAAGGAACTAGATTAAATGGGGTGGGGGATCTCATTATACCAGCGAGGGATATTCACAATAGTAATAGAGAGCCATGATACTACCACAAGAACAGCAATTTTGCTGGAGGTTGAATTCATTATAGAGTTTGCCTCCTTTCATGTAATGTAATGACTTCTCTTTCGTGGCATAACGGTACCTGCAGGCGCTTCTGCATCTATGGCAACCTCATACTGCTGCTGAACTGGTACTTCAAAAACATCAAGTATGCTCTTCTGAAGCTGATTGAGGTCTTGCACATCATTGACCTGGTAAACCAAGGGAGAAGTCGCAATCGTTTCCATTTCTTCCTGATCAGAATTTAAGATGCCAACTGTTACAACTTTTATTCCTGCATCTTTCAGCACTTTGGCAGCTTCCGTGACATCATCCTCAGATTTGTCTGAAATGACAACCACTGTAAACTGCGGTGTTCCTTGCTTAAACCGGTTTCCAGCTTCTTCAATAAAATAGGTCTCATGCAGAAACTTCAGGGCCTCCCCAGTATGCAGATGGCCCCCCTTGAATGTGATATTCCTCCGAATATGTTTAAGAACATCTTCCTTGGACTCATAAGCATTCAGCAAAAATTCTACTTGCCCTTCTTCACTGTACTGAGCAAAGGCAATCTGATATTTGTCTGTGGCAACATCCAATTTTTCAACAATCTGGGCAATGAATTTTTTAACCTCTTCAGAATTTGAGGATCCCATTGTGTCAGAAGAATCCACAAGGAAAACAATGTCAGCATATTGCTTCGTAAATGCTATATAAAAAGAGAGAAGAAATTTTGAAAGGACATGCTAATATGAAGTTGAAGCCATTTGTATGGTCACATCTTTTGAAGTTATGTTTTTCATTTATTACAACCAATATTATTGTGTGTTTTTATGGTTAAATTATTACTATAAACTAAGAACAATAACAAAACTATACACACACACACACACACACACATATACACATATGGGTGTTTGTACACATTATGTGTTTGCCAATGTGCACAAATCTCAATACTTCTATAATTACTTCCATTTTAGAAAACCTACTTTATAAACTATAAACGTTTGAAGAGACCCACACTTTTGTTAGAATAAGTAACAGATAACAAGTAATTTTAGTAGTTTTCTTCCCCATGCAAGGAAGACTTTAAAAGCCTATTCGGAATGAAGGACTTCACTACACAAAATGTGAAAAATGCATTTTCACAGGGAGGAAAAAACTTCTTCAGTACACAACCACATATGTATCTCACACAAGATGTTCCCAGTTGCAGTATTTTCAGTGGAGGAAATTGGATTTTTCTACACAGAAAACAGTATTTCAACACAAAATTACTGTTTTCAATACAGAAAAGCAGTTTCTTGTGAAGAAAATACTTTTTTCAGTGTAATTCAACAATATGTCAATTTTGCATGGAACAGCCCCAATAACAACATTTCTTTTTGGCATGCAACCACCTTTTCTGTCCATAAAACAATATTTCCATGCATAAATACTGTACAACTCCCTTATCCACATTTAATATCCACAGCTTCATAAATTCATGCTTTAAAAATAATCCCCCATAAGTGTTTGTGCACCTTTCTAGGTCATACAGTGTGATTCTATGGTATGTTTCCAACCCAAATATAGTTAAAATATGTTTCACTATTACCCACAGTATAAGGTATCTATGGGGGTCTTGAGATGTATCTCCTGAAGATATACTGGTTGTACTATATTATTTTATGCCCAAAAGAAGCTACTTCCTGTTCTTTTCTGTGCAAATTAACTATGTGTTAATTTGGTGGGGGAATAAGTACTGAATTGTGAATTCTCATTGGTCAAAGTTTTTTGTTATCAGAGTCTTGCATCACTTAAAAACACATTTTCCAATATTTTCAATATTATTTTTGTTTCTATTCTAGAATGTGCCTTTATGAAACCATCTTAACAAAACTTATACTGACTTCCCTAATACAGCACAGCTCCCATATTCATAGGGGATACATTACAGGACTTCCCATGGATACACAAAATCACAGATAAGAGCGAACCCTTTTGAAGCGAAAGGCCTCTGACCCAAGAAGCCCATTGCGTCACTTTGAAGGACCTAGAAAATGCCTAGAGAGGACATATTTTGCCAGACTTGGATAAAAAAAATTGTGTCACTCATAAATTATGAAGATCACGCCTTCAATGCAATCTACTTATTATTTATTTATTTACTATACTTGTATACCGCCTTTCTCAGCCTTATTGGCAACTCAAGGTGGTTTACGACAAGTCAGTACACATAACAACAAAATACAAATTAAACATTAAACACTTAAAAAGCAAATAAACTCCTCCTTGCATCACAAAAGACCAGTTCACTTACCTTTAATCTGACTCTCTACTGCAAAACACACTGTTTGGAGAAGACTGCTAGTGAGTTCTTCAAGGATATCGAAATTATCAGTATTAAACAGAAACTTGTTAAAGGGCCTGCTGGCAATTTCTTTAAGCTCAGTAGTGTCTTGGACACCAATTCCCACCACATACAGTGAGATTCCTCTTGCCCTCAGTTTGCTGGCCGGAACTTTGACGTCATCATTCGATTCCCCATCTGTGAGTAGAATGAGTATTTGTGGGGTGTTTTCTTGTGCTCTGCTTCCAGCAGATTCAATGAAATATCCTTCCATGATGGAATTCAAGGCAGCCCCAGTGTAAGTGCTTCCCCTTCGGAAAGGCAAATTCTGTATTTGCTCCAGAATATCATTTTTCAAGGAATATTGGTTTAGGAAAAACTCCATAAAGATGTCATCACTATATTGGGCCAGCCCAATTCTAATCTGGTCCTGGCTGACGTGAAGACTAGAAACCAGTGTGTACAAGAAGTTTTTCACTTTCTGAAAATTCTCCAGGCCAATGCTGGCTGAGCTGTCCACCAAAAATACAATGTCAGCAAGAGTTGCTTTTCGGCATACTAAATAACAGAGACATTTTGGGGGCGGGGAGAGACAAAGAAAGATTTGATTAGTCTTTTACTATTTATGTAATTTCTAATTTCTCCAATCTGAAGCACATTCTAATAGCTCTTTAGTCAATCCAAATTAGACATTTTAGTTTTGATAGGAGGAAAAGCTATTAGCTACATTTTAGGGCAGTGGTTCAGCTGTTAGGATTTCTGGGAGTTGTAGGCCAAAACACCTGGAGACCCACAGGTTGAGAACCACTGTTTTAGATCAAGGAATCTAGCTGTGGGGGGGGGATGGGAACTCACTTTGTGGGGCCTAAATCATATTGTTAGGGATGGGAAAATATCTAGCAGTATTTTAAAATATCCTAAACATGGGTTTATCCAGAAATCCTCATGAAGTCCATCTTAGTCAAGCCAGAATCTTAGCAGATCGGGAATTAATCTGTTAAAAATTATTTTTAAAAGATAGAAATGCTGTTTTCGTTGATTTTTGTTGATTTTCTGCATGCAAAATGTGGATGTTTTCACAGAATAAGTCTTGAAGTATGAATAGTCTTTGAAAAGTTCAGACAAACCACTGGAATTGGGCCCTGAGTCACAGTATCCAGAAACCCTCAAGCAACATGACTATACTGACTGCAGGATTCTGCAAACTTTAGTCCAGAAATACCTTTTTTGAACCTTTGAGTTAAATTATACTGACTGCTTAGTACACATGCAAGTGCAAGAGTGGGATGAAAGAGAAGCCTAAGCACTCAGTCAAAGACGTATTGTAGCATGCAAGGTGTTAGATATTTCCACTGCTTTTTGCATTCCCAGACAGAAAGCAAAAAATGAACATTTATCAAATTGTCATATGTGGCTGACTCTTAAGTCTGATGTATCACAACTTGTGCGGCGGACAGGTCTGATACAGATCTTCAACATTTTGTTAAACATCAGATTAAAATATATGTCCTGTGAATCTATTACAATATAGCTTCCCCTTAATCCCACTTCGATGAAAATAATTTTGGAATGCCACTGGTGGAAAGTCTGAGAAGGGTCAAAATTCTTCAAAGATACATGAACCAGAGCAGCTAGCAACACTCTAGTACAGTGGTTCTCAACCTGTGGGTCCACAGATGTTTTGGCCTTCAACTCCTAGAAATCCTAACAGCTGGTAAATTGGCTGAGATTTCTGGGAGTTGTAGGCCAAAACACCTGGAGACCCACAGGTTGAGAACCACTGCTCTAGTACCTTGCTCACAAATAGTTCTGAATATCTGCACAGAGATTACTTCCAGACAAATAGATTCACAAATAAACCAATCTACTGGAGGAAAAACATTGTGGCAAAACTACCTGTCTTCCCAAATCTAAAAAGGCAATAATAAATAAATACTTTTTCACATACAAAGTTTGGAACATGTTTTCTATTTCCCGGTTATTCATTTAAATATTGGCCAAATTTTGAATTCTGTTAGATTGGAGTCATCTTACTTTTCTAGTTGTATTAATGGCATTTAAAGCTTACACATTGATGTGGTCACACATTGCAAAGCCTCTGTGGTGAATCGGCGGGGCAGCAGGGCAATCCCGACACGCAACCTTGCCGGCAGTGATGGGGATTATTGCCACATGGCTCCCCCCCCCCCCGTACTAGCCCCGTGGTCTCTAATGGAACTGAGCCTGTGTCATCTGATGGGCAACATAGGGCTCAGTGGCTCAAGTGGGGCAACTCTGAAATTTGCTCATATGATGAGGTATATATATATATATATATATATATATATATATATCTACATAGAACTATGCCCCTTTGTGTTTGATGGAATTCCCTCTGAAGGGGGAGTGTGTAGAATCTGAGTCTTAATTTATTTATTTATTTATTTCACAGTTTTCTATACCGAGCTTCTCAACCTCATTGAGGGACTCAGCCCGGTTTCCAGCCATAAAAAACATATACACTCATTAAAATATCATATATCACAATTACAAAAACAACTTTAAAAACACTATATATAAAACTACAGTGGTCAGTCGTCCTATTAAGATGGATCTACATCAACTTCCATCCAGGGTCCTATGGTGTTGTCTCATTCATCGAAGGCCTGACTCCACAGCCACGTCTTCACCCGTTTCCTAAATGTTAGGATGGATGGGGCGGTTCTGGCCTCCAGAGGGAGAGAGTTCCAGAGTCGCGGGGCCACCACTGAGAAGGCCCTGTCCCTCGTCCCCACCAGGCGCGCTTGCGAGGCCGGTGGGACCGAGAGCAGGGCCTCTCCAGACGATCTTAGTAGTCTTGATGGTACGTAGGGGAGAATACGTTCGGAGAGGTAAACAGGGCTTTCTGATACTGTGAGGCTCAATATCTTCTGCATACTTTACAATTCTTGTTCAGTGAAATATTGGGGGGAAACCTAATATACTCATTAATCAAAAATCAACCCAAAACACCTTGGTTGACATATCTATGGTTCAATGTGAGTACATTACCTTAACCCTTATGAAAAAAGTAATCCACCCCTTCTCTGAGTAGAGTGGCAAAAGCCAAGAGCTTAGTCCATCCCAAGAAAACCTAAAAGAAGTACTAACCACCTCTACTTTCTCCACCTAGGCACCTCTTCTAGCATTTTTGAATGTCTGTTGAAGAAAGGCAGTGGTGGTCAGGAGGGCTCTATACACACAAACACACACTTGCAGATTTACCTGGAGAAACCTGGGTGATTTGTCGAGACACTTCCTCTACAGTAGTGCATATAACCTGAAGTATATTTTGGGAGATCCCTTGAAGGCCAGCAAATTCTTCCACACTATATACATGCATTTCATCTGGATCACTAGCAATTTCTTGAAGTTCAGAGAAAACTGCATCTTTGATGCCTACAGCATAAATCATAATGCCTGCATTCTTGACTTCCTCTGCTGGCTCACGAAAATTATCTTGGGCTTGCCCATCTGTTATTACAATGGCAATTTGGGGGACACCTTCATCATGTCGACTTCCAGCTTTTTCACTGAACTGGTGATCCAGCATGAATTTCAAACTCCTCCCAGTATTGGTGCCTCCTCCTTTGTAGCGCAGAGCCTGTATCCTTTCTAGAATGTCATTTTTGTGCCAGAAAGTGTTCAAAAAGAACTCATTGTGGGGCGCATCACTGTACAGTATTAGCCCTATCCGTACTTTATCCTCTCCAACATCAAAACTATCAACTAGGGTGTACAGGAAATCTTGAATGGTTTTGAAGTTCTTTAGTCCTATGCTCCAGGATCCATCCACAAGGAACACAAGGTCTGCAATGGAAGCTTCTCTACAATCTGAAAGAAAGAAATACAACATTATTCAATTTTTCCAAGGTATTGATAAAGTTATAGCTTATGGAATTTACTCATTGTGATATCATGGTTATGGACACTGACTCGAATAGCGTTTACACAGATTTAGTTAAATGTATGAGGGATATGTTTATAAAGGGCTGTTGACAGAGAAAACTAAATTGACCCACCATAATTAGGGGAAATATACATCTGAGCATTAAGTACTGGGAATAAAAAAACAAAATTGTTACCTTCATGAGTATGTATGTCTTTAGAGCTTGGAAAAATCTCTTTGTGGAGCTCCAGTTTCTAGAATCCCTCAACCTAAATGGCAACTGCACATGTTGGGAAATTCTAGGGATTGTAATCCAAAAACATAATTTTTATCCTTTTCTAACTTTTTTTTCACATATTTGATTAAAACGTTCTCTCTAAGAATCTCTAGTTCTTTCAGCATGCCTCTATAGTCAACTTTAGGACAGCTTTGATCATACAGTTGCAGTGGAGGATGAGATATTTCTAGAGAAAGCATTTTAATCAAATCCAGGAATAATTAAATCCACAAAAGTCAAATCTTCAAATGTGGAGGGCTGACTATACCTATTATTTCATTGTAATCAGTAAAAATTTGAATGGCAAACAAAGTTCACTCAAAGTTGAAAGGTAATTATTCCTTTCTTTCTCAGCACTTTTCCCATCAGTTTCTAAATATTAATCAGCACTTATTGTTTTGCTGAATACTGTATTTGTTTCTTCATTATTGTTAACAAGCAAGCAGTATTATTTATCTGAGGCAGTAGTGTCCCAATTGTTAGGCTAGAGGTGCATCTACACTATAGAATTGATATTTATTAACAATATTTTAACTGTATTGTGAAAGACTTTCACGACTGGAATCAATAAAGTGTTGCATGGCTTTCAGGCTGTATGGTTGTGTTCTAGTAGCAACAAACAATTCAGAGTGAGCAAAAGTCAAGCTACTTCCAAGCTTGCTAACCGTACCCTTCACACTAGTTCAACAGACAATGGTTATTTTCTCCCACCCTGGACATTCCACAGGTATATATACTCCACTTGCTTGACTACCATCAGATCCTCTGAAGATGCCAGCCACAGATGCGGGCAAAAGTCAGGAGAAAATGCTCCTAGAACACAGCCATACAGCTCAGAAACCACACAACACTCCAATATTTTAACTGTTATGGCTCAGTGATATGGAGCAGTAGTTCTGCAAAGTATTTAGCCATCTCTCCCAAAGAGCACTGACTGCATGATTTCATAACATTGTTTCTACAATGTAGATGCACCTTCCAGGTTCCACTATTCCTCACCATGTTGGCTGGAAATAATGAAAGTTGAACTCCAACTCTATCTGCACTCCCGGGTGGAAATCCCTCGTGGTGTAGAAAATTTGCTTTCATTTTTATAACAGAGCTATGAAATTTGTGAGGATTGAGAAAGGGGAAAAAACTCATTGAAATCTAGGTCTCCTTAATTTTGGAATAAATTCTGACAGAGCTCCTGTGGTTTTAACAGTCTTCTGGCAGCAGATTCAATGGCTGAGGTCTGTTTTGACATGATATGCAGTGACAGAGGCCAGATGTAAAGAAATCTGACCTATTAGTGGGTGAAGGTAACAAGTATTCTGATCTAAAACGAAGAACCAACATGCCACTTTCAGAGAAGATTAATTATGTTCATTTCCAGTGGCAACTAGCTTCCACACCAGTCTTCTCTTTTGAAGATAGAGTTCAGTACCTTGAACGTATGTATGTGGACCTTCAAGTCATCTGTCAACTTAGGGTGCTCTCATGAGTATCATGTTGTATAGGTCCTTAAGTTGAAATCCAGAGTGGATTTAGTACCATCTCTTGGAATGGAAGCTACCAGCTGTCATTACTCACAACCTATCACTATTTCTCCTTGGAGACAACAAGAATCTTGCAGTGGATTTGACTAGGTTCCAAAGAACTATAGATATTACTTTACCAGTAGTTTGAGCACTGGTGGTACACAAAGTCGTTAAGCACACAAGAACAAAAAACTGGTTCCAATAATCCATTCTGAGGGCATTCCTGGAAAAATAAAGAATATTTATTATTTACACACACAAAACCCTCCAATTGGCTGTATTATTATGCATTTAATTGTGGTCTGAGTGACCAAATGTTTCCTCAACATTATGGACTTCAATTTGTGGGGGAAAAGATGATTCTAATGGGTCAAACAGGTTGGTCATGTTTCACTGAGACATTACTAGATCTTTAAATAGTAAATCTCTCCCTCCCAACAGCAGGGAATATGCTCATTGAGTCAAAAGGAGAGTTGAGTAAAAAAATAAGATATATATATTACTATTACTATTGTTATTTTAGGGATGAGATAAAGTAAAATAGCTTCATTAGGCTATAAATTTCATTATTTCTCATCAGATTGGCTAGGAATGATGAGAATCATACAAATGTAGTTACTGAGCAGTCTGTAAAGAGAAATAGAGAAAGAAATGCCCATATTGCTCTCTGTATTAAATCTTGTTGCACTATCAATTCTCTAAGAAACCTAATATAGTATAGGAATTGTTGGAGTTTTAATACTGTTCTCTTATGCTTAGTTTGTACAAATGTACAAATAAAGGTAATACAGTCTGACTTATCTATCAAACTATAGGTTGTGAGAAGCCAGTGAAACAGGATAGCAAAACATGGTCTGAGCCTGACTAGCAAACCACAATTTGTGCTGATCAACTATAGCTATGGTCATTGCTCCATCTCAAATAGTTGGTGTACCAGGAAGATGGAAGTGGATTATGATACTGTGGGCTAATAGAGAAAAAGGAATGCAAACAAATTCCTCTAAAACACGTTTATATGGCCGGAAGCTTTAAGCATAGCATGGGTGCTTTAACAATGGGTACTATAAACCATGATTTAGCATATTTTCCGAACTAAGCCACTGAAAACAATTAGCAGAGTTATAGGAACTGCTTTTAGCCTTGTGCACTGACAGACCAGCTGGAGAACATCGATATTTATGGCAAGTATTTATGACATTTCATAATAAGGCATCAGCATTTTCTGAATAATTATGACAAATAAAACCTCACTGATAAGATAAACATTGCTTTTGAGAAACCATATGATTAGAATCTACCTCAAAAATGCACATTTTAATGAAAGCTAGAAAGTTCAACAGCTGTAGAGATCACTGGACTTACCATACAGTCAAGTGGAATTAATGGATTTCAGATGACCTTTTGGAACAATTTGTTACTGATCTGCACTGAAATTTTATTTTCTTCATGAAAACCAAAGAGAGAAACCAGTTCCAAAGAAGACAGGATCAAGGAAAGCTGAGCCCTTGATTAATAACTCTTTCAGGATTCCCTTTTCCATATTCATAAACTGAAACGCCTCATTCGGAGAATTGAAAGCTCCATAGCATTGTACTTTATATAATGAAAAGGAGCGAGGGATTTGGGAAGCAAAGGAGAAATGGCAAGAAAAGTGTATCCAGAGAACCCATGTTAGCTAATCATCAAACCTAGTAACCTACAGGACTAGTAGAATCTGATCTTAGGAGGGAAAATGTTGGAAGATACATTGAATGGACACACCATTGTGAATCAATTTGTTTTATCTATTTGGTCCTATTACTAAGTATTGTAGGGTACTTTGCAAGTTCGAGTGTCAGGAAAGTGTAGCAAATTCTTAATTATACACTTTAATAGAATTGTATTATTACAACCAAATTTGGACCTCATCACATTGATGAGGTCCAGCATTCAGATTCACCAGCTTCCATGGCAAATCAGAGAGCATCAGGGCAACCCCAGCACCCCACACCCTGCCTTGCCGCCAGTTGATGCTTCCCCATCATATGTGGGGAAGCATTGCTATGTGGCTTTCGCTAGCATTAGCCCTGTTGTTCCTTCTTTAGAGGCTTTTAAACAGAGGCTGGATGGACATCTGTCAGGGGTGCTTTGAATTTTCCTGCTTCTTGGCAGGAGGTTGAACTGGATGGTCCATGAGGTCTCTTCTGATTCTATGATTCTATGATTAGGCTCCTGTGTTGGCGGCACAGTGCCTTAAGACTCTTGTGCCCCAGTTGAACCACAGAGCCCCGCCGGAAATTAGGATATGCCGTGTGATGGGGCTGCATGGGTCAACTGGGGCAGAAGCATCCTAGAGTGCTGAATTTTCATCGTGTGATGAGATCCAAAGATGGGAAGAGGTATTTGTGAGAGATCTGTCTAAAATGGTAAGATAACAGGGCTAGCTTTGGATTCTACAAATTTTGACCAAGCAGAGTCATGTCTAGTTATTAAATTTAATTAATCATTTCTACATTCTCACAATACGCATTGTCATCTAACACATTTACCGAAAGTGCTTTAGAAAATGCTACACATTTATAGCACTATCTTATAGCATCCTAGGAGTTGGTGTTTGGGGAGGAACACAACAGGGCCCCCATTTTCACAGGGCTAAAGGTGCAAAACCCTATGAAAGAGGGACCCTGGATTTATAAAAAAAACTATTTTTTAGAACCTAAATACCTCTCTAGGCATTTCCAGGTCCTCCACTGCAACCCTATGATTAACTTCCATTGGAAGTTGTCTATAGAACTGTGCTAAAAGAACCAGATATTCACAGAGAGTTGTTCTTTCTAAGAATCTCTAAGTACTCTAGCACAACTTTAAGGTCAACTTCGGGAGGAAGTTTGCCATAGAGTACCAATGGAAGACCTAGAGATTCCTAGGGAGACCTTATTAATCAAATCTGCAAAAATTAAAAGAACAAATTGAAATGCCAACTGTTTAGAATTATTGGTCAAAAAACTAGTGTCTCACCAAATTTGAAATTCTGGGATTTCATAGGATTCAACAATGGTAATTAAAATGGAAGCACAGTACTATAATTGTATCTTGTAAAAGAGTACTCATTAAGCCTCATCAGGAGAAAGGGATGCCTAATTAGATGCACAGTTAAATTTAACTTATT